TAAGTTTACCTATAAATAAAATCAGTCTTAATCGTACCCTCAAGTGAGTACTTCGTCCCCTCAGACCAGGGACACGTGAACGGTCGGTTTGTATACTCTAGAGGAAGCCTACTTCTTCAGCGCAAGGTGCTGTGTGACCCCGTCACAGGCTGAAAGAGTGTGGAGTATTTTCTCGTTTTTGCTGACAAAATGTCGCACACACCTGCGGGGGTGCAAAACTTGAAAACTCAGCTTTCATCTACACTTACTCGGCGAGAAAGACCAGACTGATTATTTGGCCGATGAGGAAAGCGATGATGAAAAATATTTGCTATTAATAATCCGATTAGCATAGGGTTATTAGTTAATATTACTACCAGTCCTTAACATTTAAGAAACATAACTGTAAAAGTATTCTACAATTAACAGCACGATATCAAACGCAATAGAGCTCTCATTATAGCAGAAATTAAAGGATAAGTTCCAAAGATATTAAATGTTGAAGATTGTTAACCAATTTAAACAGCGACTACTAAACCAGTGTTTGCGACAACGCTAAAAACCATGAACAGTTTAAAAAATACTACCTAAACAAGCATCTTACAATTTAAAGAGCAAACTTAAACGCAATGGCGATAGCAGAAGCTATAGGATAAGATCTAAATATATTTTATGTTGAAGTTTCTACACGAATTCAAAAGAGAGATATGTTAACGTTAAACCGAAAACATCACTTTAAAACATAGTGTGCACCTCATTTTAATTGTGCTCTCAGTTTCTCAAAACTTCGATGGCAAGACTGACAAGGCGATAACGCAGTGCGAGGGCACGTGCACGGAAAGCGAACGGCACATGGGCCAACTCGATTGCTGACCCTGAAGCTACAACTCTTTCGGATTCCGCAATCCATTCCCGTTCAATCTTACTTGTCTTCGCCAGGTACCCCACGACCCATAAGTCAACCACAGTCGTGTGGGATCCATCTTCCACAAAATATATGTAGCGTGTTCGTCGTGCGTCAAGTGATCGCAGCTGGGGAAATTTCTGCGGACTTTGAGCTGCATCAGCGAAGTCGATCAAATACCATTCAACGTGGCCGATCTGCTTGATCACGTTAGACCAGCGGATGTCTCTGTGCATCCACCTGTTGCGATGGACTACAAGGGTCTCGAGAACGTTCCAAAGCGCGAGGAATAGTTCACTCAAACTGGATAGCTTCATCTCAATGCCGCGGGGCATAAGTGCCAACCTCAATTGGTCCGAATCCACCGTGACAACTGCATCGCCCGATAAATTCATTTAGATCTCCGAGTGTCGGCAGTAATGTGATTTTCTCAACTTCGTTATGTTGAAATCTCGACAACCACAAGTCCGTCCCATTAGAGATAGGCGCGCTACTTGTCCCAGGAGGCAACGCCACCAGCACGTGCACATGACCCTTTCCAGCGGCAACTTCTTCTTCACTCACTACGCCCAGTCGACGACTAGCCTGCTCAACGGCTCGTAGCTTCGCGTCCACGAACTGCAGATGTTTATAGTCTCTTGTTTCACTCACACTTTCCAGCGCTTCAAGTTGAGTCAGCCATGCCCCAGCACCTTTCATCTTCTTCGCCAGGAAGAGCTGTAGCTTCGGTGCAGGATCAGTGATAACTCCATCACTCTTACTCTTGATTGCCTCCTTCAACTGGCTAACCTTCGCACCATCGTCTATCTCCACAGCTTCCAGCCTGACCAAGGATAGCACACTGCAGCGAAATCACCACCATCTTCTCTCAACCCAACGCATTCTGAAATGAGCCTTGTTCCGCGATCTTTGTGACCAACCGCTCGACCGGAAGTGACTCCAGCGCTTTCTACGTATTAACCGCAATTTAATATGAGTTCATGTTTTGTGATGGAACCAGAGGGACCATGAATGTAGCTCTTTTTGAGACACGATTAGGGTTTGAGCTCATATTTGTACAGCAGCAGTTGGGCGTTTTTAGTAAGGTAGTGAGTGTGAGGCGAACAGGCTGGGATGAGCAATATCTTCTTCTATGAGAGAGGATAAGGGTGAAACGACAGCAGCCAATCGTCTTCATCAGAAGATATTGTGCAGTGTTTCAAGCTAAAGGTACATCCAGGGTTATCCGTGAATAGCAATTCCCTTAGACAGGAATACATTGTTGGTTCCCAACACGATCACACTACCGAAGGGATCTTATGTACCTTTGCACAGGAATGAATTGTGGCCTCCCAACGCAATGACTACCGAGTGGATCGTCTGTACGCCACGACATGTGTATCAGACACATGGAATCTGAGACAGTACCACTCCGACTTTATTGTGACAAACCTCCCTCATTAGAATTCAGCCTGCATTGATCAAGTATAGCAAGTTGATTATGTTATGAAGGTTAGTGTGGTGCACATTCCTCAAATATAGTGGTAAATGTCAGGTGAGGCTTTCCAAGGTCTCTACTGTGCCTATCTTAGAAGCACATTTCCGATGAAATCGGCTTAGAATGGGCGGGCTCGTGATTCCCTGTTGATACGTATCACTGATTCCTACTACCAGTCACCACACTTGACACCTTTTTTCTATAGCGTCAAATGTATCGAGTTTCAAGCTAGCCCGTATTATCAAGGGAAGCAAGTTTACCAGTTCGGTTAAATCGCATCCTATCAAGTACGAAAGGGACGAGCATATTTTCGGTTCAACCGTACTTAGTAATAGCGGTGCCTTTTGATACAGAGTGTGCACGGAGCGTAACCAATGTGACATCGCTGTTACAAAAGAGAGTCAAGATCCGGCAATTGTGGATACATCATGTATCCATGCCTCTTTTATAGGAATCAAACAATTGGCTAGGTTCACGTAATACCCGATAACCCGATTACAGTATGCAGAAAGATCTGTGCTGTTACAGCTGCGCTTCCCAGAAAGACTAGAAGGGACACTGCGCACGTTTCTTGTGCACTCTTAGTATGACCGTCACCGCCTTTCCAGAATAGGCTGGGATGACCATATTGCTTCTCAATTTGAACTTGAAAAGGCTACTTTAGTACCGCTGGGTTCGCTTGAACGAGCAGTGGCGTGATATTACATGCAGGAGTGCACACCAGTGTGCAACGTAAAAGTATCCAGAACGGATCGCGGTCTAAATTGGCACCGGATATGTTCGTACTGTTGTTGTCGCTCGGGTTTGCTTCGACTACGCTCCTCACACCCGCTCAATACCGCCCTCTATTAAAATCACCTTTTCACAATCTGTGTTTTTCACGAATTTGTCTTATTTTTTTGGACCAAAAATAATATGCGTAAGAACTATTGTATGTAATATACCATTTGTGTCTAAGCAATCAACTGTTTACGTCGAAGTATTTCTGAAAACGGGTTTAGTGGAAATAGTTAATCCCTTTCAAGACGAATTCTAGTGTACGTAGCCTTTGCGTTTGGTGAATGCTGAGAATTGCCGGAGAACTGCCGGCATTATTGCGCGACGAGGCGAGCACTACCTATTTCGGTTACCGATGGAAGACGTACGGTACAACTCTGGCTCCAGGAATAAAGGAGAAGGTGGTATCGGTGGGTTATGAGCTCTGTCTGGCGGCACTGTGGATACAACGAAATTGAATTATAGACAAGGGCGCCGTTTTCTCACGAGCAACATGCAACCAAGAACTTATGCGTAAGCTGGTCTAGCTGGTACGAACATACCACCCATATGACAGGTAATGAGCTGTCGGGTCCACTTGCACTCCGAGAAGATGTTACAGAAATTACTTATATGATTCAAGCGCCATAATGCTGAGGACCGAAGCGTTTTTCGGACGCATGCGTGCTTAACAACCACTTTGCGATTTGATTGGCTGTGCAATCGGCCCATAGGCAGCACGTTTTGCTCGAGTTTTAGCCAATCAAAGACCTCCCCTAACCCAACAGTTTTACTCTCCTTTTAACCTCCAAGGTAGCAGTGTTTACAGTAAAGATCGCAACAATAATGGCTCTGTATCCCCAAAGATCTCCAAGTGGACCTTAGCGAGAGAGACGATGCATCCCTGCTGCGCGCCAACGCCGCAGCCTGAGGTCCACCGATTTTTTTCGTACGGCTCCCACGCAAGATGCCCCTCCGCGATTAAACCACTTTTACCAGCAGGGGCGTCCCCGCCTTGTCGCTCAATCTGCGTGCTTTGACCATAGCCCTAGGAGGGCTCGTTAATTATTACCAGTAGTTTGGTAGCGGTTTAGCGCCAGGCTAGAACTGCTAGAACACAACATGACTGGCTATTATTCTGCCAATGATAGTCAAGTATTTTGAATTGCGATGTTTAGGGTACGCATGCAACGCATGCGTCCCTCTGACGCCTCGGTTGAGAACGGGCCTGAGCTTGCACTTGCAATCCAGCTGGGAATGAAGAACGTGGTGCTGGTTTCATGGACAGACGCGCGATCTACTTCGAGATCTGACGTGTACATGATTTATGATAGGTTTGTCACCTAGCCAGCCAAAGGCCATGTACATCATTTCCCAATTTGCTCGCCCAAGACCACTTCATCGCCATATACAACCTAAGATGCGTGTGTGTGCCATTCTGCTTGCTGTTGCAGTCACTGTACTCGCTAGCTCGAATGCTCTTTCCTTCACCGGTGCCACGAGGCTTGCAACACTCTCCAGAACCACCACTAACTACGTGGAGCAGTCAGCTGTTGCTGCTCAGGGTCAAACCAGTATCCAGCGGCGTTTGCGGAAATATGAGACCGTAAATGACGACAGCGAACTGGAGCAAGATTCGGAAGAGGAGGCGAGAGGCTTCGTGCCGGAAAGTCTGACAAGCCTCGTTCAGAAGTTCAAGACGGTCGGTGGAAATGTGTTGCTCAAGACCAAAACCTTGGCTCAACTGAAAAAAATTGAGGAAAAGATGGATGCGAAACGATTGAAGGCGCTTACTGATTTGGATGAGAAGAAGGGATACAATCCAACCACACTAAGACACGCCATCGACAACGACCCGCCCAAGGGGTTGACGAGTCAAGACGCGGACCAACTCATGGAGGATTTCACTTTCTATTGGAGAGTCTTCCATCCCCAAGAGTAAGAAACTGAGCAAACTCAGCAAGCAACGGAGCTAGCCGCCGAAAGGGGGAGCGTTTACGACGAATCGTCTTCAATGCGGTTGTCGCCGACGACAATCGTATCCAAAATTAGGGTAATGATATTCCCAAATTACTTTTACACCTTTTCGTTCTTTTACTTTGTGGACTTGTGGATAGTATTTTAATAGATACTGTGTTGGAACGTTGTGACAATCATGTTTTTATAGATTATTACCAAACAGTAGAACAACTAGCAACACGCCTTTATCAAATACTAGTACTGGATTGGATATCCATTACCCAACGGATTTTAAAAAGCGATTGAGATAGCCACAGAAGAGGAGCGTGTGTACGACAACAAATCATGTCCAAACTTAGAGGAATACTATATTTCAATTTACTCTATTGTTGCTGTGTACTGTTCATTTTGCTGTGGGCATGTCGATGGTTATTATATTACAGTTCTGACAATCGTGTTCTAGAACGACTAACATTTGTTTTCTTCGAAGTACTATCTCTTTCCAAATTAAGTTCTAGTCCACTAATTTGTGGAGTCCCGCGCATCTGTTCTAAAGAGCTATTAACACCGAGAGGGTTCTTGGTGGAAATCGAAATGTGTTTCCTTTAGATGCTGAATGCTTTTCTATTTTCGAGTACTCATATAAATCACTCGATATTTCGGTATCTACCAGTTCCTGTTGTTCGACATCATCAACATACAGTACCGATGGTTTTATCTAGAACCAAAAGCTAAGATCTAAATTACTTCAATCTTGAATTATTTCAAGCGTTCCTGAACGGAATGATAACTAGTGCTGCATACGGTATTTATTAAACCACATTTTCTTCTTGCAACGCCGTTACAGTACGTTCCGTTGGTGGCACGCGAATTAGTCATGATGTAGATTCAGTCAACTCGGATGATCGACGGTGTGTCGTCATCCTGGTACTACTTTACGTTTCATTTAATCCTTACTACACTGCAGTATTTACCAGAGGCAAGTGATATCAAAAATACTCATTTTGGTGTGATGTGGTTAATGGACGGGGTGACGTAGGTCGGCAATTATATTCACTACGGAAGGCAGGTACCACTACCGCGGGTAATGGTCTCCATCCAGCCCCGGGTGTTAGAGACTCGGGAGTAAATACCGTAGTATCCTTCACGACCGCACGTATCGTCCTTTGCCCAGCTTACTACACCGACCAGCACGTCCTCACCTGCAGCTGACTCGACACCAAAGTCACCCCCACACGAGTCACGATTCGCAACGCCTCCAGCACAACCATACTCGAGTCGACAGTGGCGAATGCTGCACACGCTTCGTCACTCACTAGCGGGACGTCCACTCTCTGTAGCTCGTAGACAGCAGTTCCGTTTATCTCTGCGTTAGTTCCCCACCCCATCGTAGTCGCCACTGTCCCCGGTTTAAAGTCTGAGTCATCAGCGGCAGCCAACTTGACCGGCTGAAAGGAGCTAGGTCTTTCCAGCTCCAATATCAGGAGTCGTTAGAATTCGGGATGTTTTCCGCGTAGTTCGGATGGTTCATCATCGATACGATCTTGATCTTCTCACCTTCTTGAGTTCCATTGCGGTAGTGGCCGCCAATATATACCCACTGAGGAGCGTAAGCCAGTGCGACGCGGTAAGCACGTGGGTTGGCGTGATGAGGGAGCCTCCGCACAACGTATTGGAATCTTTGCGGAGGCGGAGGCTAGCAACGTACGTCCTAGTTCCGCTTGGGACGGTCTCGCCACTCAAATCAACTCACGCTTAATAGGACGTTGGTTAGCTGAAGTAATGGCCGTTACCAAGGCAGTTGAGATGGCGATAGCGTTGACAGCCTTCATGTTGATACACGCGAATTACGATGCGGCTTTAACGACTGAATCCAGAGTGGAGTTTGATAACACTTGCTTGGTAGGCTGTCTGGTAGACACAGCAAAGACCGATCGATCTATGATCACGCCGTGTAGCAAATAATTCGGTCCAGGAATCTGTCGATCTGTTCATTGGGAAACGCATGCGACCTACAAGTCAAATTCTCCCTTCAAATCTCAGTTTGTGCACCATATTTTAGTACTCATCGGATCGAAGCTGTGCCGTTTTTTTCCTGACCCGTGAACATACACACGACTTTCCCAGATCCTACGACCTCCAGCCTATACAAAATAGCTACTGTAGTAGTTTTGAATTCGATGATAATTCGAAATTCTCGCCAAACCAAAAACCCGGTAGGATCCCTCAAAGCAATCACTGACGACGTTATCGTACCATTTGAGGAGTAGATTTTTTATCATAAGATAAGCCAGTGCCAATCCTGGAAGAACGTTCCGTAGCACCAAGTCTACCATCCGGTGAGCATATTATGTCCTGATCACGACCAGTGATTCCAAGTACTTTATCCAGTTTACCATTCCGATTTTTCCTGCCTGAGACGCAACACGTGTATCCAGGCAGCGCCATAATGAAGCTTGCATCTGCGTTATCTCTATTGTGATAGCATTATTTGCTCTAGGCATGAGCGCTCAAAATGCCCCCAACTCCTCCAACGTTTCGGTGAGTTACCTCGTAGCAAGCAACAACTCTAAGGACACTAACGTTAGTGCAGCATGTTCGAAGAACTCCAACAGTACCGTCCCAAAAGGCTCGAAGACATATGTCGCTAGTTTGCGCGTCAACGCGACTCACAACAATTTTGCTGCTGCCATTCTCATCTCTCCAACACACCTCCAAACTGAAGGAGCTAGTATTGGTGGCAACATTCGGTACGCCTCAATTGGCTCTCACTACAACAATGGAACGGAAGATGGAGAGCAGATCAAGGTCGTGGCAATTCTGAGCCACCCTAATATCTCAGAAGAATCCCAGTACTCATTTGACTATGTTATCCTGCAATTGGAGAAGCCTAGTTCGTTCAAACCGATTCCGCTGGACGCAGCCGACGGCTCAGATATCAAGTACGGTGAGAATGTTATTAAGTTGGGCTGGTACAACACCGGAGGTGAAGGCCAGAAGGCACATGAACTCCAGCGCGCGGACGTTCAACTGATGACAAACGAGGAATGCTCCAAAGTCACGTCAGTGGATGATACCAGGATGTGCTCGCGTCCAGTCGGTAGCCAGGAATCCAGCACGGGTGACTATGGTGGTTCACTGGTTGTTGAGCGCCCGGAAGGTGACATTCTGGTTGGTATGGTCAGTTGGGGGACGATTGCAGGAAAGCAGGATACCCCGAGCTACTACTCGCGTATTCCGGTTGGTCGTGACTTGATAGAGTCAACCATCAGTGGTCAATGTTTCCACTGAGTCCCTCCTTTATCAATAATTGACAGCATTTCGTGTTGCTTTTTCTAAAAATTCTAATGTGTGTATAGCTGCAACGTGCTCAACCAGGTTATTATTAACGGTGTAGAACTTTAGTTGTTGGAATTGGGAAACAACGATAATCTAGATAGAATCTGAATAAATTATGGACTGATTACCGATCGAAACAAGAGGGAAAGTAAAAATACACGCCGTTATAAACGCAACCATTTTTATCACTTGAAAAATTGAGTGAGAGATAACAAAAATATGTTAATTTTGAGCAGAGTTCGTCATATATCCATAGTGGTACAAATGAAAGGATGCATATCAGATAATAACTCCATTGCTTTACTTTATGCCCGAGCGTATTTTGTGGTAGTACGATGGAGTACCATTAGCACAATGAGCATTTATGATCATAGCATGTCGGAAACACGAGTCTCGACTTTTGACGCATTCACTATGATAAACCGTGGACAAATACTCACACTTAACGTTCAATTAGAAAAAATGTGATCAAGTTAAAATAATAATACAACAGATGTAGTGGATGCCGCTGAGGTGAGCAATCAAACGACTCTGATATAATAGCTACGCTCTGTGGTCAATCCTTCTTTCGTAAATGGTTTTGACCTGATTCCAGCTTCGTTTATAAACTAAAACGCTTTCTTTTTTTCTTTAAACGCAGAATTGAAGTACCAAATCAATGTATTGGCATTGCAGATGACGCGGCTGCGGAGTATCCGCAGCAGGTGTAGTCTGCGCGTTTGTAGCATACGAATTCGATAGTGGCAATGTAAATTGAAAAGAAAAATGATCGGCTATGGTCGATGTATTGCTATTTTCCATACGTTACAGATTACAGGTTATCTCGCTTTTGTTTTTAACTACTCGTTTTGACAGGAGAGATTCTGAACGTCATCGAAATCGGGTTTATCGATACTAATTGCAGCATGAGACAATGGCACGAATCGAGATACCACACCTGAAATCTAGCATCCTTTGCCACCAGCAATAATCAAACACGATGTGGACTCGTACATGGCCATGATGTTAGTCATGAGTGACCACACAACGCGAACATAACGTAGAAGACCGTGAGACCACCGAGGATCTTGCTACTCCCACCCGTGCGTAGCAACTCCTGCGTTTCTGCCTTCTCTGGAGGAAGAAAAACTAGGAAAGCCCACGAAAATATGGTCTGGTCAGCACCGCATAGATGAGGTCTGTACGGATGGAGATGTCATCGGCTTGGATACGAGCTGTAGTCAAGTTAAGAGGCTGATTGATCACAAGCGTTAACGCTTGTGCGAATGGAGACGACAAGTTGGCGACCATTGTGATAAGACCGTAAACTCTACCTTCATTGTCGCCGCCGGCCAGCTCGACGATCATAAAGTTACCAATTATCCAGCCAACACCGTAGGGTAGCTGCACAGCCATCGGGATACCAAGCCAGAATCACTGGCTACGGAATAAATTCCAAATTGTGAGGAAAGTCGTAATACCATCCGCGAGGATTACAAAGATACCCGTACAGAGAATCATTTTGCGCCAACTCCAGTGCATACCCCACTTGGACGTAGCCATGATGCCACCCATGAAAAGCACGTTACTAATGATCTCGCTGATGGTGTTGTTGATCGGAGTGACACCAACCTTGTACGACTGGACCGGAGAACTGGCAGTGTACGAGATATTGGAGAAGACGTTCTAGAACTGGTAGAAAACTACCTGGTAGACTGCGCGCTTCTGAATCAGATTCCACAACTCGCTCATGTATTTCCTGAACGATACTTTTGACTGCTTCTCCTCCTTGATGAAGAACCATGTAATAGGGATAATTGGCGCAGTGATGACTGCGACGATTGTCATTAACAGGGGAAATTCAGCGAGAAGTCGAACTGACCTCCATACGCCTCACTGTTGAAGCAGAAACCAACCAAAAGTTGACCAATGATAACGAATACTGTTCGGACAGCGTAGATTGCAGACTGGATCGTACCACGCTTCTCCACAGGCTCATGCTAAGCATATTCCACCACGATACTGTCGGCACAGACATCAACCAGCACGTAGCCGATAGCGGCGAAAAGCATGAGCATGACGTACTTGCCGGCCTGGCTGCCGGCGTCAAAGTTGATGCGAGCCTCTATCTCCGGCGTGTAGTCAGCGGGATCAATGCCGCGGTCGGACGGTACGGCCCAACCGACGAGCATCCAGACTTTGCGACGGTATCCCCACAGAGGCACACAGTCCGATAGAATGCTGTAAAACACCTTGAAACTCCATGGTAGAATGACGAGCGTTGAGGCGGTGGTTACTTCAGAGTCCATAGCGTTCAGATACTGTTGTAGGAACGGGTAGATCGTGGCGGGTAATTGATACCGACTGCAGCATATTGGAAGAGCAAACCGATACTATCACGGCTCGTAAGGACCGGGGTTCCACCCCTACGTAGCGCTCCGCCCTCAAGAGAGGACGGGTCCGGGGTCTTGACCTGCGAGTAGGTTGGAGTTTTGTCTGGATCGGGGTTTTGCGATGGTGTGCCGCTCGCGTAAGTTAGTCGAATAAGGGGCCCTGCCGGCGAAGTCATGAGCCTGTAGTGGAGTGTTTTGAGTGAAAGAGCGCAAATTCAGGAATGAAACCAAGCGTCGGCCTCCGAATTAATCTTCACAGCGTGCGGAAAGGCTGTTAGGATGGTGTTGGTACAAGCGAGGTCTAAGATAAGCTTACAATGTACCTGCCTGTCATGAAAGGCGGCATTATGTTTGGCTCAATGTATATGCACAGCAGTCGCCTTGTCACTGACGATGGGGTGTCTTGATAAATCAACTAGATGTGCCAGTTCTACGATGCTTTCCACACCATCAAAGCGCATGGTCGATGACGTGCCGAAATCGGTCATTGGTATTCGCTGCACCGCCATGATGCATGTTATTGACAGGAGCACTGCCAATTCTGCGTTCGATGACAGGGTAGCTGTTCAATGCTAAAGTCGCAAGCTTCCGTTCGTTCGGAGCGTATTTGTGTGCGTAGAGACGAGCTGTATGTGGAAACAGGAATGATAGGATATTCAGAACAGATTGACTGGTCAAGTATACTTGAACGAGCAGAGGCGTGGCCGTAAAGCAGGTATCCCATCACGATTTTTAGTTTCATTTGAATGTTTATGACTAAGATAGTTCAACATACTAATGATATTATCGTCTACTCTGGCCCATTCGCATAATTCATTGCTGAGAGACTTGATACTCTATTTAATAGAGTCTATTAAAATGGATACCTTGCGACATTCACCGACTGTGGTCCCTTCACTTGAATGCGTGTATACTCTTAACTTGCAACTCTGTACGGTGAGCAATTTTTAATGGATCCGGTCTTTATTAACGTAGGTCTTATTATACATCAACGCGGTCAGGACTAGCTCTTATTTCATATACTTGAGTGGAAGATCGTAATGTGTTGTTGAAAACGACATCTCCGACAAGGATTGACACGACAAGCGCTTCCGACAGAAAATATGTTTCCCATCTTGACATAGTATGGGCGAAAGAGTTGAATATTTGATCCAACTCTTGCCACTGTTGCCATTTGGAAGTCCAAAAAAAAAAAGTCTAGCAGGCTTTCCAACCGAGAACGCTGCTGGTGATCTAGAATTGATCTTAAGGTCAAACTTCGCAATTTCATATACAGTAGTGATGTCGCGTTGTGTTCCAAATTTCATAGCCAAACGACATTTTCTTAATTGAGGCTCCCGTATATAGACCCTGCGTGTCGTTACAGGCATTTCGAGTTAATAGTTGTCAATTGTCATATTTATAAATCTGCAGAGCTGGGTAAAGGCTATTAAAATACTGACACTGTATAACTTAAAGTATCAAAAACTCATATATAGTAGCCTCCCAGTCTAGCTATGTCCTCCAATGCACCTGCCTTCACAATAGCAACCCGCGTACGTGCCATATAAACAGATTAATATTTCTAGAACATGTAAACAGGTATCCAAAATATCGAAGTAAACTTCCGACCTATTTTATCATCCAAGGTGTATGTGAAAATTAATGAGTTTGCAGTGCAAACTTTGTAGACCTGATAAGGCGCACCCCCGTAAGCGGAAGGGAAGCGACAGTATGGCATCTCGTCCCTTGGCGACTCCATCGGCATCTTGCTGTACTGATATCAAAACGAGTCGCTGGCATAATATTTGAGCATGTCGCCACAGGCGTGATCTCCATCTCAATGAGTCTGTACTTAAAATAAAAACTGCTTTCATGTTGATACAATTCGCAAGGCGAAGCTTGCGCTGGACATCTGCTTCTTGGGGTAATTGTGTATTTTTCACAGCAAATCCCCACAATTCACATTATTTTTTACAATGCGATCCTTACGGCTTGCTTGGGACCATACGAAAATTCGTAGTACCGAGGAGTTTATTTTTGTGAACCATCCTGTTAATTAATGGTGATGTTGTACTTAATACGATTGACTTCCACCGGTGTTTCCCTTTGGCGAGGGGATCTGTATTTAAAAATGCATGTTTTTGGTAAATAATATTTTGAGTGGAAATCATGTATTCTGAAAAAAAAAACTCTGTGCATTTTATTATCGACGTACCTTTAAAAAAACAGTTATTATTGTGCCTTTCCAAAGTTTTGGCCAATCTGACCTTTAAAGGCTGGTCCTAAGCAAGGGTGGGTAGGGCTAAAGGTGGGATTTGAGGACGAACAGGAGTTGAATTGCTAAGCCAGGCCACTAAATAAAATGATATTTGACCAGTAACACTGTTTGATTTTGCCGACTATGATCCAATAATACTTGATTGTGGAGGTCCTACGTAAGGGCTCCGATTTGATCTAAAGAGTACCTTTTAACAAATTAAGGGCTGAATGGCCAGTATTTGCCGCCCATTTACCCTTACGTAAGGTATCTACAACAGATTGATTTTACGGGCTACTCATCAGGCATACGCTGGCGTGGCATTGTCTTGCAGTATGTCTACAATATTGAGATCAGCGTAGTTGCCGGTGTACTAGGCGTCTCGGCCAGAAGCCTTCGGAGATGGTACCATCCATCTCTTCAAGACAACAGGAAATGTCGACGACACCCCAAAGAATGAGCGGTCACCTAAATGGCCGATTGAAGTGCAACAATTTACTCGCGAGTATGTAAAGCAACACCCCTTTTCTTTGATTGGCATCGTCTTTTTTTCGTCACAGGGTTAGGCTAAATTTTAGTCGGAAGCACCCGATCAGATAGGAGGTCTTCCGTAAGGGCCACACTCCTACGTAGGACCATAAAACTGAGGGCATTTTGGCAGAAAGGCACAATAATAAATTCGATTACACCTTCCAAAACCCTAAGTATAGGCACATAAAACACGACAGTTTTTATGAGACCATTGGATGCCAACCAGACTAGAGTAAATCACTGTTAATCATATATAAGAAAACTTACGTTGGCTGAGGCTATACGTACGTCTGGGTAAACGAAGGGTTGCATCACACTCTCTTTCTGCAATTGCATATTGTCAATTCCAGTCAAAATTGGACATCAAGGGTGATTGGTCAATCGCCAGCCCAATCAACTGCTCGATGTGATTGGTCAAAATCTACTAGTAGCAGCTTTCCATTAAAGCTCTTCAAGCAGAGCGCGGGGACAACCAGTGCGTACGCATCAACTTCTGCGGTACCGTAGCGGCGCTCTCTGTAACCAGGTGAGCGCTTTTATTATCAAGGCATACTATCCACACACTTCTATTTAACTAGTTCACCTTATTGATGTGTTATTGACGCTACTAGCCTTGTAGCGCAACACTGTAGGCTAGATCGCATCAGAAGCATGGAGGACGCCGTAACCAAGCAACATGCGCATCCCAACACGGTACTTCACTGCTTATACGGCTTCTACAATCTTGGTTATTCGCGCAAGGAGCTCGCTCGAATCTATAACAAGTCCGACACCACGATAGGCAACTGGATTCGCGTCTACGAGGCTTCAGGGACGTTTGAACGAGCAGGAAAATCGAGTGAAAGGAAGTTTTCAGCCGCCCACCGGTCATAGCTTTGTGACTACTACGCAAAACACCCTCTTTCCTATCTTGACGAGGCTCAAGACGCGTTTGTACGAGTTCATAACATCACAATTTCGAAGTCGTCCGTTTGGCGCATTATTCACGAGTTCAGATTGACATGGAAGGTACTTGAAAGGCGAGCAATGCATATCAAGGAAAGGGATATCTTCCGTTTTGTAGAGGAGCTAGCTCAGATCGACTGGTGCCATCACAACTTGGTATTCCTGGATGAAGTTTCTTTTGACAATCGAGGGATGATCCGGAAACGCGGCTACTCGCTCAAGGGACAAAAACTCGCTATTAGGGGCGATTTTCAGCGGAAGCCAAGGGTGTCCATATTGGCATTTATCGGTGTACGTGGTATCATCGACTACTTTGATACTTAAGGCACATTTGATCGAATTGAATTTGTCAAGAGCTGTCGAGACTTTGCCTACGCGAAGCGCAATAACGTGCGGCTTTATCCAGGCTCTAACTCTGTGTGGATCCTTGACGGTGCTTCAATACATCATCACCCCGAGATAGTTCACTTTCTCAGAAGCATTGGTGTTGTACCGATATTCCTTCCAGCTTACTGTCCATTCTTCAACCCGATCGAGTATTTATTCGGGTACGTCAAAAGGTCATTTCAGCGCCACTATAATGAATGCAGCGAGAGAGACCTTCTACCGTTTGCAGTCCAGACTTTCCAGTGTTTCGAAGAGTTTAGTATGGCGAGAGTGTTTGACCATTGTGGCTGGAAGGTCCAGGGATACTTTGATCCTAATGGCCCTATATCGACGGAGACGCGACAAGTGCCAGACATACTGGGAAGGGAATTAAGACTGGATAACGACGAAGACGAATTAGGATTTAGAGAGCAAGAAGGTTGCAACGACTACGAGTACGACTCCGAGAACTAGCTACTCCGCGTGCTCGAAGTCGTCAATATTCTCGATGAGTGGAAGAGGGTCAACCACCTCCGCAATAGGTATCAGCTCCAGATCCCCCAGAAATGCATCAATCGCATTCTGTTTTGACGTCAAGTTTTCTTTGTGAGCGGCTAACCGTTGACCGAATGCAGCCCAGTCTCGTTGTGAGCGTTCACCAAATGCAGTCCATTCTTGATGCAGAGCTTCATAGGCAGCCAGCGACCCAACCACACAGTCCTGAGCCATACGAGCTGATCGAGTAAGATTTGCCATCCTTTGTTCCACTTGCGTAGCCGAAGCCCGTAACAACTGAACGATGTGAACTGGTGGGGGCTGCAAAAGTTTTTCCCTCCAGTTCGAACGGTTTAGATTTCGGGTTATATGGTTTGCCCACAGTCTCCACGTTACGGTCGTGGCTTGAAACCGGGACCCCCAATGTGCTTCTAGTTCGTTTGCAACTTCACGAAGAGAAACCTCAGCAGTAGCTCCAGCACGATCAGTTTCTCGTGGGCGGATACACGTTGCCTCAAAATTATCCAAGTCCTTCGCTTTAGTAAGTGCCATTCCGTACTTAAATATTAGAAGCTTGACAGTTTTACCCCGTGACGAAACAAGCCACTGGTTCCAGGCGGCCTCTGTCTTGGTGCTGTCGACAAGATGCTTATTGAGTTTAAGCTGCATCATCTTTTGCCATTGGTCTTCAGCAGGAGGTTCAAGTGACCAAATTCCATTGTGTTTCACAGCTCGCCCTTTCACGTGGTGCCCAAAATGCTCCCATAACTTGTGCGCTATTTCCCGAAACGTCGATCCATTTACCGCAAAGTCCTCTAGCGACTCTCCGGATGCATCTCGCTGGCTCATTGTGGCTTTAAGGATAGGTTGGACCACAAGTTGATATTGATGCGATGTTGCGTTCAGTGGAGAGGCTGGTAGCTGCTGTTCAGGTCAACCAATAGGCGATGCAGCTCGGGGTGACGCTCGGCGTGGTGCTGAACTTGGAGTCCGTGGTTGACTAGCTGTACTAGGGAACGGAGAACGCCTAGCTCGACTTGACGCTGCAGGTGACCTTGCTGCCCCGAGAGTAGGCTGTTGAGATGTAGATGGCGCTGGAATTGGATTCAAGCGTGCACTGGCGGTTACGGCTGGTGGTGTCCGCCGTCGTATTGGTCCTGGAGGTGGTGGTGTTCCCGTTGATGTTCGAATGCGCTCAGGGTACGGCGATACACGAGCTGAATGTGGCGATGCACGCGTGCGAGCGCCATTCCGCGCACCATTCGCCGGCGAAGTGTCAGCTGATCGAAAGCCTCTTGCGACCCCAAGCGACACGTGAGACTGAGGATCCATTGCCGTGCTGATGCAGGAAAAGTTGCTGGTGCGCTCTGCTTTGCAGCGCGCAATTGAAACCTATCTTCGGTAATGTTTCCTTATGATTTATGATAGGCTGAACGATTGCATGGGTCATTGAGCGTGGGCGATTAACCAATCGATCAATCCAGTTTTGAGTAGAACTCACAATAATTCTTTTCATATTTATGTAGAGAAGACTCTCTTTTAGCAACTGACGTGCCATATCGGCCAATCTCTCACATATAGCGACTATGTTCAACTTATAAATATACAGATCTAGATAACCACTTCAAGTCGATTTTATGGCAATTGTTGTAGGCACCCATTTTTTTTTTTTTTTGGTATCATCCAACTGGTATCTTCTACGCCTTTTAGGCATGCTCACGTGTAAGCTCATTTCGGCGTAATACATTTATCTGTGCTTCCATTTTGCGTCACTTGCATAATGGTTTCATGATCAAAATGTCATTTCAAGAAATCGTGTTCGCCTCTAAGAAAATGAAATGATCCTGTGGTCAACATGGAAGTTTCCTGGAAAGTTTTTTTCATGTCATCTACTGTTGTGTCAAGCTGCTGCCGTCCAGCGGGACATTGACGCGCTGCACGTTGTCGGCAGCTCTCCAGCCATGGTTGGCGTAGCTCTCGTCGATGACGGCCTCGTCGGCAAAGCCAGCACCAGCAGTGAAGCCAGACTCGACAAGTGATGTCTGCTTATGTTGGATTTAGTCTGCATTCTTTCTTCAGGGGCGCACAAGGATGTAACACTACGGAGGTAGTGAGTACTTGAAAGTAAATTGAGAACTGAATTGAAAGTTAGTTTGCTCTATCGTACTCTTTTGCAGGTTTACTGACAGGAACTAACTGTGGTATCATTTGACCAATTGTCGGATGACGTGGTCAAATGATTACCAGTCGTCGAATGACGTGTAACCAAATGACGAATAGTGTATGCAAACACAAATTCGTCACAAAGGACGTCGCCATGGGCTGCATAGGAAGCAAGCAGGACAAGCAGTTAGGCTAGCTCAGTTTCGTTCTCATTAATCAATTCGCTTTGCAAGTCAAACCCCGGGCGTCGCGGCAAAAATTGAGCCTCTTTCTTTCGTCTACCAATTGCCAAGGAGCAGTGCACCGAATCCAATATGACGTGCAACGAAGACACCAAAACGCTTCAGCTATGTTAGTAGATAAATGCAGCAACTAAAAAAAAGTGTGTCATAGAAACTTCATTGTTGAGTGTTTGCTCCGTTCTTCGCGCTCACCTTCGCATGCCTTTGTCTAAATGCCTATACCTCACCACGTCCAGAATCGAGGTACTATTGTACTGGCAGGGTGAAATGCACCACCAAATGTTGGCCCCCGTTTCTTGCTAAGAGATCACCTCCTGGACACCTCTTCATACGTCGTCCACTTCTGTGTAATGCACTGGCTTAGCACGGCTTGAGCTTCGTTGGCGGCATATATCTAGAATATGTCGAGTATGTCATACTCGCTACGTTGTAACAATTACAAAGGGAAACCTGTGTGACCAAAAGCATTTAAAGCAAGGACATCTGCAACAAGACAAAGCTGGCGGTACTGTATGGCAAGAAGAACTTGATCGATTATGTGTACACGCCGTCTGAGTTCCTCTTACTATTTGCCCACCTGAAATATGGCACGAACTCTCTTTTCAACAGAACGGAGCTTCAATTCACACGTCCAACCGTATGAGGGAGATTTTTGAGGAACGAGAGATTCGTGTGTTACCATGACCAGCGTGCTCCCCGATTTTAATCCGATCGAACCCTTTGGTCGATAATAACACACACGGTCTACGCTAACGGTAAGCAGTACAGCAGTGCGGGTGGGCTCACAGCGCCACGGTACGAGGCCTGGACGCCATTGAAATGTCTGTTCCCAAGTCGATGATCGAGTCAATGCCTCGCCGATGCAAGGAATGCATTAAGAAGCATGATAATAGGACTCACAATCAATATAACAATCGCTGCGACCAACATTTTTTTAACTTGATATTTGTAAGCTTGGTAGGGTGTTCATATATTGTCTCAGTGTCGATATTGGTCACTAAAGTGCTCTTTCCAGAGCGTTAAGAGAAAGTGTGTTTAACAGGGCAAACACAACATACCTAAATAGCGTGGTCTAACTTAAAATTGATGGAGCTACCGCAGAAAAAGTGGGTATTCATATGAACTTGGCGCGCAGTGTAATATTTCGTTGTCATATCAAAAAAAGTTAATGCATTTACATAAAAAGTAATATTTGAATCTCATACACAGTATAAGTCATGGCAAATTGATACTCAAAAGTCTTCCTAATATCTACTTTGAATTGCCTGGACTATGGAGTGCATCTCCGACGACGGCAAGGTATTTGCTGGACGACACTGAGTGGTGTGTCCTCAACCTGGATGCTTGCCTCACGGCAGTAACCACTTACATTTCCAATTGGCCGGGAATGGGCCACCACAACCAGCCTTGGCCGCTACACTCGACCCGTCTGAAGAGGACACATCATGTGGGAATAATTCCAGCTGGTGCCCCCCAAAGTGCGTGGCGTGTTGAGTCCTTCCCTGACAGCGATGACAGGCGCTGAAGGCGGCTACGGCTTCACTTTGCGTTTTGCTGTCGACGTCAAGCATGTCTGAAGCGTATGGCACATTTGGCGCGTCGGCTCCGTCGCCGCGGCAGCGTCAAAACCGTTGGAAGAGGCTCCTGTCCTCGACTCCTGTTCGCATCAGTGGAGTGGCTGCTGTGCTGCTCGTGGTTGTGGGCGGGTTCCTGCTACTTCAGAGTCCTTCGGCTGCCAAGAAAGTCTCCACTGAGGGTGGCGCTCCCATGCTGACTCCCTCCGAGCGTGCCTTTATCAATGGTGTGCAACCTGACAAGCTGCGTGAGTTCCTGCACTCCTATGCTAGCGTTCCGCACACGTGCGGCACTGAGCAAGACTACAAGACGGCAGTGTACACTGCAGAGCAGTTCACCGCCTTCGGACTTAAAGCCGAGATCAAGGAATACTACACGCTGCTGTCGTATCCGATTCACCGTCGCCTGTCCATCGTGTCACCCGAACAGAGCGCGCATGAGCTCAATCTGACGGAAGTGTCGGTGCCCAACGATGCGTGCACCAACAACCCGGACGCACTGCCTCCGTATCTGGCGTACTCGGACTCTGGTAACGTCACGGCGTCGGTCGTGTACGTCAACTACGGCACCCAGGCAGACTTCGACTGGCTGGTTAGCCACAACGTGACTCTTAAGGGCAAGATTGCGCTGGTGCGTTATGGACGCAACTTCCGCGGCCTCAAGGTCGCACTGGCTGAGCAGCACGGTATGGCCGCCGTGATCATTTATTCGGACCCGAAGGAGGATGGATTCGTGCAGGGGCCCGTGTATCCTGAAGGAATTTACCGTCCCAAGGGCTCTTTCCAACGTGGATCACTACAGTATCTGTCGCTGGCTTCTGGAGATCCACTGACGCCTGGATGGGCGTCTGTCCAAGGAGCTCCGCAGCTCAAGTACGAAGATGTTAACAGCATCCCGCACATCCCGGCGCTTCCGTTGTCCTATGAACAGGCGGACATTATCCTGCGTTCCATCGGCGGCCAGAAGGCACCGGAGGCTTGGCAGGGTGGACTCACGTACCCGAACGGCTACCGTCTCGGTGACGACGAATCTTTGGTACTAAACCTCGATGTGCTCATGGACAACAAGGTTGGTCCGATTTGGGACGTTATTGGCACCATCGAAGGCGCCGTTGAGCCTGATCAGCAAGTTTTGATTGGCAACCATCGCGATGCCTGGCTCTGCGGTGCTGTGGACCCCAGCAGTGGTTCTGCCGTCATGATGGAGATTGCTCGTGGCTTGGGTGACCTCGTTAAGCAGGGCTGGAAACCTCGCCGTACTATTGTGCTGGGCTCCTGGGATGGCGAAGAATTCGGTCTGCTTGGCAGTACTGAGTTCGCTGAAGAGCGAGCCGAGGAACTTAAGCAGAAAGCTGTCGCGTACATCAACGTAGATAACGTCGTCGGCCCCTTGGCTCTTGCTATGGGCACTCCCTCCATCGCCAAGTTCATCGAGGACACTGCTAAAGCTGTACCTCCTAACCAGTTCTTTGGTCCGAATGATACTCGCAATGAGCCTGGTGACAGTCTGTACGATCAATGGGCTGCTCAAACTGCTCGCCACCGCTCGCAGATATACGGCGTGTATGACGGCACGCTTGCACCTGATCATCTGATCCAGTTCATGGGCTCAGGCTCGGACTTCACTGCGTTCTACCAGCACTTGGGTGTGATCTCAGCTAACCTGGGATTCACACTCAACGGCGCGGTCTACGGCACTTACCACAGCAACATGGACAGCCTCATGTACATGGAGACGCTGGGCGATCCGCACTACGCGACGCACGCCAATATGGCTCAATGGTGGGGTCTAATGACCATGCGTCTTGCCACAGACGTTGTCGTGCCCTTCGACTTCACCACCTACGGACTCGTGATGAAGGAGGATCTCGCTGGCTTCGAAGACAAGATCTCGGCCATGAACCACAGTGTAGACTTCACAGAGCTGCACTCGGCTATTGCCAGCTTCACTGCCAACGCCAACGCGTTCCACGCGAACATCCAACAGTTCGAGGCTGCAAATGATAGCAGTAGCGAGGAATTGCTGCGTAGATGGAACGAGAAACTGGTGCTACTGGAACGCCACCTCATTGATGAGAGCGGTCTGCCTCACCGTCCGTGGTACAAGCACGTGATCTTCGGTCCGGGATTCTACGAGGGCTACCTCGGCACTGCCTTCCCTGGCATCTCGGACTGCGTTGCCTTCGGGGACAACAGCTCGACTATTCAACAGCATGTGGACGACGTCGCTCGCATCGTTAATGACGCTGCCAACTTCCTAGTTGTGGGTTGATTGGGCCTCGCAATAGGGGATAGCTTGCTTGAGACCATGCTAGCTTTCCATAAGCAACAAAAATGAAGAATTGTTTAATGATGATTGCCTACTACAGACTTCCAAGCGTATACAAGACTAGAATGGAGGGGTTACGCTTCAGGCGCGTAGAGTAGTAGGTCGTCACATGAACCGGGATCTTGTCTTTGCTGCTATCCACGTTTGCCAGGACGGATCGAGTATAATTGATGCAGCTCATCATGCGGCAACCTTGCCAGACCATTGATCGGAGACTAAGTTGAAGTTCATTTTGTGTGCACCACACTAACCATCACTCTGATGTCACTCAAACGAATCCTCCCCACATTTACTGACTTCCGCACTCATCTAGCGTTCGACCATGGGCAACGAGGTGAGTCGCCCTGCGGACCTGAGTCCGCAGAGCTCGGGCGTGGTGCCGCCCCGCTCGGCGTATACGCCAACGGGCGAGTCCTCACGTCGCGCACAGAGCTTCAGCACGCGCTCTCCGTCTCCGTCGCCATCTGCATCAAACGCTCCACCTCCGCAACGCCGGACCAGCAGCAGCTCGAGTCTGGGCTCAAACCCTAGTTCGACTCCTACTTCAAACCCTAAAAAGGAGCGCACCATTCAGCGCATGGATAAAGCTATCCGCCGCCGCGTGCGGGGCGGCATCACGTACAATATGAAGCTGTTGGTGCGTGGCGCAAAGGGCACAGGCAAGACGTCGCTATTCCAGCGACTCAAGGGCGAGCCCATCCCAGAGACACACCAGTCCACGCCACAGCTTCAATCTGCCACAATAAACTGGAGTTTTCGGCAAAATTTGGAGGAAAACGTCAAATGTGAAGTCTGGGACGTCGTGGATAAAGGATTCGTGCCTGTAGAGACTGAAGAAGGGGCAGAAGATGACTCAACAAGACCCCAGCATGCTAACACCGCGGTCAGTGCTGAACACGGAGGACTGCAGAGTGGAGGGAGCTTATCAGCAGAAGCTAGCGCCGCTGCAGCCGCAGCAGCTGCTGCCATGCAGAACGGGACTCATTCTGTAGCCATAGTGGACGCTTCGACCGTGGACGTGTACCATGAAGCTCACGGGGTGATCTTCTTATTGGATATTACTAAGTGGGATACCCTGGAGTACGTGAAGCAGCAGCTGGACAATGTACCGGTCCATATTCCGACCTTAGTGCTGGGCAACTTTAGAGATCAAGGCGCGCAGAGGAAGATCTTCAAGGAAGATATCCAGGAACTGCTCTATGGATCTAGTGACAGACCGCAACCGCAGCAGTGGAGAAGACCGATGGAGTTGCTGTATTTTGAGTGTTCTTTGCTGAATTGTTATGGACTAAAGTCTCTGCATCAATACTTTGGAATCCCGTTCTTGCAGTTGAAGCTGGCGACTATCAGACAGCAAATGCGGATCGTGGAAGGAGAGTTCGCACATCTGAAGCACGATGTGCAGGCTACAATCAGTGAACAGCGTTACTCTGAGTATGTGGAGCATATCAAAGTGACAGGATCGGACATTCGGACAGGTAGACGAGGCTCAGGAAACGGGAGTACCCCATCAGCGCCGTCTAGGAGCGATTCAGTCAGGTTATCACCCAGGGAAAGCAGTCAAACGAAGCCGGTGACGCAGCAAGAAGGTGCAGATGATGACGTCAGTGTCGTTGGTAAGGAGAATGGCGCTGGAACTCCTCCAAAGTCGCCAACAGAGGTGGCTGCTGCAACTTCGGAGGGCACTGAAGCATCACTGAAGGAGCAGGAGGAAGCACAATCTCAGGATATGGAGGATTTACCTGCGAGAACCAGCAGTGTTGTTATTCAGACGGCGCCGCAACTGAAATTTGAGCACAAGGAAAGCGTGACGTCTTTTCCGGATGAGATACCGGAAGATAAAGCCCCGAAGTATGAAGATAACGCTGCGATGCCTAAAGGACAAAGCAGCAAGGCTTTAGTAACAAGTAATGCCAGCCCGAGTCGTCCTAGGAAGGCGTCAGTGGAAGAGGTGATGCATCTTGAAGACTTTCAGGTGCCAAAAGCACGTATCAGTGACCTCGATCACTTCTACTCGGAGAGTGAAAGTGACGAAGATGTTGGCGAGAATGACGAGGTTGTGGTGGTGGCGCCTGTGGATAGATCAATGGGCGGTGTTTCCCACAAGCAGCGATTTCTAGACTCGGATTCTTCGGATTCGGATGAAAGGGAATCAACTAGTCGAAGTATTCGAAAGGAAAGGGCGTCTCGAAAGAGCTCTCATCGTCGTACAGCGGCAAAGCAGGGAAATGCATCAGGCCAAAATGATCTTAAACCCCCTCAATCATCTCGCCCCACACCACCACCAGCAACAGCTTCCCCAAAGCAAAGTAGCAGACCGGGATCTCCAGCGAGAGCAAAACCTACTAGCCCCGCGAAAGATTCTCAGGCTGCACCAACGCAGCCACAGGCATCTAGCCCAACCAGCGGCGTAGTAGATGTAACGCGGACACCTCCTGCTGCTCCACCTTCGACGTCTCCCGTTCGGGATCCTAGTCCAACAACCAAGGGCGATGATTCTGTCGAAGTTGCACATGAAATTCGGGTATCGATGTCGCAAGGTGAGGGTGAAGTAGAACAGGAGACGCCGTCGAGCGAGGAGCCTGGATTGACAGAAACAGAAGCTGCTGTTCCGCAAGAGTCTTCTACCAAGCACGAGAGCTCGAAAAGTCCTGCTGCTAGTACACGCGCTTCCAGCGAGGATGAAGCTGACGATGCTGGCGTTATCGAGAGCGTGGTAACGCACACGGCCATTAACAAGGAAGCCAACGCCTCGATCGTTCCGGTCAAAGAGATCACTCTTGTCAATGATGACGACGCCAACAGTGAGCCAGAGGATGCTGACCGTGTTCCAAGCGACCGTGGAAGCAGCCCTATCGAAAAGAAAGATGAAGCAGCATCTGCTGATGCCGATGTGGACGAATTGGTTGTTGCTGCCAGCTCCAATGAGTTGAATACTTTCCTCGCAGATGATGATAGCGATGGAAAAGAAGATGCTGATAACGCTGTTGCAGCATCGCAAGAGAACGTGGTTGAAGCCGAGCAACCAGTGCTGTCGAAAGCTTTGCGCCCCGATGCACTCGCAAACGATAGCGACAATGACGGTGATACAAACGTGAGGAATGTCTCAGCTAATGAGTCGCTTTCTTCACTGCAAGCATCTCTGCCAATGCCCGAGCCTACAGTGTCTCCGTCCGCACCTTCCATGTCGAATTCAATGGGAAGCACTAGTTCCGCGACTCAGGGCCAGGAAGATGTGTTGGGCCACTATCACAAGAGAAACCACGACGAATCTGGTGACCTCATGTCGTTATCATCCCTCCAAGCTTCGCTTCCGCTACCGAGTGAGACCACGGCACCAATGTCAACCTTGACTAGCACGAAGAATACGTCCGTGGACTATGCTAACGGTGCTAACGGTTCCAGTACGAACACAGCTCTCCACTTGTCGGACCTTCAATCGACCCCCTCCAATGCGATCGTTCCTGACTTCGCGAGTATTGTGCCAAGCAACGATCTGGAGGATTTTTTGAACGAAAGTGATAGCGATTCAGATAATGCACCGCCAACTTACGCTGATCCGCAGTCAAGTAAACAAGGACAAAACAGCACAAGAGCGATAGTGGAGTCAAGTGAAGATGATGAAGATCGATTTGCGAGTTACAGTATCAGTAAGAAGAGCAGGTCGGAGCGGAGACGTCAGCAGAAAGAGGAGCTACGGCAACTGAATGCTGCTCTGGACGTGGACAAGGACCCCTTTGCTCCTTCAACGAGTAGTGTAGCCGTCTTGGACTCGTCATTCGGGACCTCAGACGTGATGGAGGCCATTCGTAAAGCACAAGAAGAGGCCATGCGAATGCTCCCGACCGCAACCGCACCGGTTGATGACGACGTCGACTCGAGTTCATCGAAGAAGAAAAATAAGCACAAACACAAGAAGGAGCACAAGCACAAGAAGCGAGAAGACGCGGACGGTTCCAAAGAGAAGCCATCGAAGAAAAGCAGTCGGAAATCCGGATCCCGCTCAAAGAAACGCCGTCCTCATGTGGAAGACGATCTCATGTGAAGCGGTGAAATAACACTGAAACTAAGTGTGGAGCTATAGAAGCACGGAAGAATTTTTCGATCTTGCCAAATTCGTCCTATGAACCCGTTGCGACCGTCGCTGTAAGTTACTGCAACCCATACTAATTCGTTCTTGTCAACGATCAACGGGCTCGACACAATGTGTAGCGAATTCTCGAGTAGTCCATCTGTCCAGCTATGAAACGTCTGATGCGTTTCTGAAGTCATATTGCATTAATACTAAGACTCATAAGGACGCGAAAGTCTCGATTTAGCGGTTTTTCCTTTGCACTTCTGAATTTGGAGGATGACCACTGAATCCATATTTGGGTTCCAGAAGAAAAGCTTGGCTATGCGAAACGACAAGACCACTTTTGATTTTGCTCCCATCGTCACTTTACAACTCACGGTCAACTCCTCACTCAACTAACTCACTCGACCGATTGGCAACATGCACATGCTCTTCCAGAGCGAAGCAGCCTATCGGCGTCGTAGCTCTTGGATGCCGCGCGACGGCAACGAAGCTACCACGGCGCTAGCGGCACCACATAACTATGACATGATAGGCCCACGACGTCGAGGGAGATCGCGCAGCTGTAAGACAATTAAGAGAGAAGCTAAGACGGCGCAGCGCCGAGCGCAGTGGCTCCTGAAGAGCGAGCCTGAGAGCAACGAAGAGGAAGCAGGCAACCAGGATGAGGCCGAGAATGAGGGGACGACGGCGTTGAATGACGAATTGTTGGCCATGCAAATGGAGATCGAAACGCTGCAGAACCGGCGACAGCTACTGGACTCGGCGATGGTCAATGCACGCACCAACGCGGTGACGCATGCCATCGACCTCACCAAGGGCTTCTACATACACTTCTCTAATGGATACGACCCCATTAACTACCCAGAACAATCCAGACAGGCGGAGTCATTTCTTCGAGGGATCATGAGGAAGGACGCGATCTGCACTGAATTCCAGGGCGTCGACTTGTTCTTGCATCAGTACAAAGTTGCCACGGAGGGTCATGCCTCCATGCGCGTGTTTGTCCACGGCATCGTCGTCATTAACGAGGACTTGTCGTCAAAAGATAGTTCCGTTCAGATACTGGCCAAAGCTACTGCTCGCCTCCGTGTAAGTCGCACGACGCTGGAGAAGTTCTTCCCGCGTATCATCGAAGATGAAGAGCTCGCGCAAATGCTTATTGGGAAAGAGTATGTTATCCAGTATGACAAGGTGTTTCACTTCAAGCACGGCCGGATCTTCCAGCATGAATCTCGAGTCGATTTTTGCAATAGTATGCTGGAGATGGCACAAAACCCTTTCGTCGCAATGAAGCTCCTGGAGGCCTCACTCATGACCAAGCACGGGCATCTGAAACTGGATAACAACATCGAGGAGGACAAGAATCAACTCGAAAATACGGTACTGTAAGTGCACAACAGAAGTAAGTTATGATCGTCAGAATTAATCGTGAAATTAACATGCTTTCCGCCTTAGAGTTGTCCGTAAACGATAACATCGTATGCTTATCATATCAAGGGTACATAGACAAGCAAATTTCTTTGTCATTTTTCAATAACAAAGAAATGATAACGTGTAAATGATGTTTTTTGCTTTATCAATAGTCGTTATCCTTGCTAATCCTGATACTTTCACCTTAAAGAACTTAGAGGATGGCACTCACGGCGTTGCCCAGTCCAACTAAAGTCGCTACCACACCGACTCCGTGACACAGCGAACGCATGGGTTGTTTCGCATACGCAAACGCGTACGTGTGCAGGCAACGTGCCGCCGTGAAGGCGATCATCGCGCGGAAGTGAACTTTGGAGTTGGCCCCAGCCATGATTCCTGCGCCGAAGACGAAAAGGCCTAGCGGAATGGCCTCCAAATCGTTCGTGACGATACTTTCCCAGCGTTTCTCTGCCTCGAGCGTCCTGGTGTCATTGTCATTGTCATTCTCAATACCGAAAGACTGCTTGCGCTTGGATGAGCAGATCTTCATGTCCTCGGGAGGACGACTACCCGTGGCGAACTTCCTGGCCCCTTGAATCATCGTGGCGGTCAGGAACTTGATGTACAACACTGAAGTGCACGCGACGTAAACTTTGACGCTCCCGTTCACCATCGTGCGTGCGTAACTGAAGAGCTCTGTTCCTTGTTGGAGAAATCGGGGTATGAGAGACTTCAGCTTCCATTAAGCATTGGGACGTTGGTGGCAGCCAACTTGAAGCATTTTTTTTGGTTATTTGGCCAGGCGTTGGCTGTCTCAAAGCTGCGACTTGCAACGTTCAAAGTTAAATCTCGAACACATCTATTTTCTCTATTTAGACCCTTCAACAGACGCTACTTAGTGCACTAGAGCCGTGCACGGCAACATGACTTAGACGTAGGTGACCGTACTGGGCGAGTATTTGCAGACGTTGCCCTTGGGACCGGCGCCAGCTTCGTCCGGCTCGCCGCCCGACGTCGTGCCGTCCGACCACGAGCACACGTTGATCTTCTTGCCCTTGATCTTGATGTTCTCGAGCGTGGCCTGGTCACCCCAGTTCTCGTTCACCGTGACGATGCTGACACGGCCGTCGACGGCGTAGACATTCTTGACGTTGACCTTGAGACCCTTGATACCACACGTGCCGCACGAACGGTAGAGCTTGCCGAAGTCCTCGACGTAGAAGCCCTCGATGGAGACGGTGCCGTAGCCATTGTGCTGGATGACCTTGTCCTGGGCGGAACGAGCACCGCCACCGATGACCTTAGTCACACTGCCGGCCGACCCGCCCTTGATGCTCAGTGCGTCCTCGCACACATCGTCCCACCAAACGTTCTCGATCGTGCAGCCACTCTGCTCGCAGTGCACGCCCTCCATTTGGTCCTGACCGATGATCACGTTCTTGAGCGTGCCACCGGGTTCGACGCGGAACACGGCGGTCTGCCAGCCGCTTTCACGCTGACCAGCGCACTTGACGTTCGAGCGCTGAAAAGTCTTCATCTTGCCATCGAACACTTCGCCTTTCTTGACAACGTAGGGCTCATCGAAGAACTCGTCACCCTGGCTGGCAGGCCACGCCCCGGTGGGCATGGGAGCCGCCTCCGCGCGCATGGAAGCACCCGACGCGATGGTAGCCGTCGCGGCAAGAGCAATCGAGACGAAAGTGAAAGTGTTGACCATGGTTGAGAATAGATAGACTGGTGGTCGGTTGCTTAGTTGCTGCGAAGAGCGCAAATTGAAAAATGAGTGTCAAGTGTGGCTGCATTGCAACGGTCCACAGGTCTAGCGTAGCGTAAGAGAGCAACCAGCCAGCGACCGGAACTGCTGTAGCCAAGACAAAGTCACCAACGCAAATCCTGTCGTTGAGATCGATGTCGTCGAGAACAAGCTCCGTATTGCCAGATGCCAACGCGTTTACCCCGAGATCCTCGCCATCGATAGATCGAATCGATAGGACCAGTATTAATAGTCTGATGACCAGCGCTGCTCTGTAAGGTCTTGGATGCCAGATGCTGGCTTTACGACTACGCGAACCGGGTGCGGAGACTCACACGTCAATTAATCAGAGCATGCTGGAAGTGACGGGGCCATCAATTAATCTGAGTCCATTTTAGTAAGTACCATGACTAAAGCCGCGTGATAGAACTTGAGTGCTAGTTAATTCAAGAACTACACAAGCACTACATGTTCTGTCGTCCAAGTACACTGTATTTGTACCTTATCCGTGGGCCCCGCGGCGTTGCAAGATTCCACCTGAATGCCGATCCGATGTGCACCAGGTGGCGACTACAGCAACACCACAAGTTCGCGGACGAAAACGGTGGTGAGGCCAGCGTCCGACAGCGAAAAGAACGGACGTCGGAATGTCGCTCGGTCGCTTTGGTGTCGTCATTTTGCACTCTAAAGAGGTATTCGATGCAGCAATTAATAAATAAATACATGTGCGATCTCTTGCCTCTTTTTAAAGCTAGATGTATCTGCTTGTAAAAGTCTGCAAAGTGTTCAATAAGGCTGTGATGTCAAGCAATTTTACTCCAAGCCGCGCAGATGTCTGTCCAGCCAACAGCCGGAGCAACCGGACTAACCCAAGCTGTGCTGGTGGATTGATCGCGATCGATGCGGAGTTTCCAGACGTATCGGTAGAAATGAACGATGAGCACAGCAGATGGCCTGGCGAGCTGGAAGCAGCGTGAGTGCCAAGCCTTGCCGTGAGTCAGCATACATGTTAGTACACGAACACGCTTGTATACGAGGTGCACATTGGCTTCGTAATCGTCACTGGGCATTGAGCCTCAATTTGAGGGGGCAAGTTCTCGGCAATTCATCGTGTAGTTTATTGAATTGAGTCCATTTCATACGCGAGCATCCGATAGTCCTAGTTACGATGGTCGAGCGACTAAACTGCCGTGCCTAGACAGCGATATGCGCACGCGAGTTAAGTGGACAGCAGCAAAACAGCGGGTCTTCGCGAAAGAGTCGACATGTTCCGACGCGATTTGAGAGTACGTCTGAGAATCGCAACCAGGCCGCAATCAGCGGCGAGTCAGCGATTGTGCGCCGTATTTATTGACTGTCGGCGGTTGGATCTTTGGATTATTTTACAAACACGGGGCTCGAAGTGTATTAAAAAAGACAACATCAACGAATTCATTGGCAAACACATATATGTAGATCTACTCTACGCACTGGAGTGGAGATCACGGGTGACAACCTGACCAAAGTGAACATGTCAGCATCAACGTACGGTATCAGCAGAAATTCATCGGAGGCACTCACGCTGCTTCCAGCTCGCCAGGCCATCTGCTGTGCTCATCGCTCATTTCTACCGATACGTCTGGAAACTCCGCATCGATCGCGATCAATCCACCAGCACAGCTTGGGCTAGTCCGGTTGCTCCGGCTGTTGGCTGGACAGACATCTGCGCGGCTTGGAGTAAAATTGCTTGACATCACAGCCTTATTGAACACTTTGCAGACTTTTACAAGCAGATACATCTAGCTTTAAAAAGAGGCAAGAGATCGCACATGTATTTATTTATTAATTGCTGCATCGAATACCTCTTTAGAGTGCAAAATGACGACACCAAAGCGACCGAGCGACATTCCGACGTCCGTTCTTTTCGCTGTCGGACGCTGGCCTCACCACCGTTTTCGTCCGCGAACTTGTGGTGTTGCTGTAGTCGCCACCTGGTGCACATCGGATCGGCATTCAGGTGGAATCTTGCAACGCCGCGGGGCCCACGGATAAGGTACAAATACAATGTACTTGGACGACAGAACATGTAGTGCTTGTGTAGTTCTTGAATTAACTAGCACTCAAGTTCTATCACGCGGCTTTAGTCATGGCACTTACTAAAATGGACTCAGATTAATTGATGGCCCCGTCACTTCCAGCATGCTCTGATTAATTGACGTGTGAGTCTCCGCACCCGGTTCGCGTAGTCGTAAAGCCAGCATCTGGCATCCAAGACCTTACAGAGCAGCGCTGGTCATCAGACTATTAATACTGGTCCTATCGATTCGATCTATCGATGGCGAGGATCTCAGGGTAAACGCGTTGGCATCTGGCAATACGGAGCTTGTTCTCGACGACATCGATCTCAACGACAGGATTTGCGTTGGTGACTTTGTCTTGGCTACAGCAGTTCCGGTCGCTGGCTGGTTGCTCTCTTACGCTACGCTAGACCTGTGGACCGTTGCAATGCAGCCACACTTGACACTCATTTTTCAATTTGCGCTCTTCGCAGCAACTAAGCAACCGACCACCAGTCTATCTATTCTCAACCATGGTCAACACTTTCACTTTCGTCTCGATTGCTCTTGCCGCGACGGCTACCATCGCGTCGGGTGCTTCCATGCGCGCGGAGGCGGCTCCCATGCCCACCGGGGCGTGGCCTGCCAGCCAGGGTGACGAGTTCTTCGATGAGCCCTACGTTGTCAAGAAAGGCGAAGTGTTCGATGGCAAGATGAAGACTTTTCAGCGCTCGAACGTCAAGTGCGCTGGTCAGCGTGAAAGCGGCTGGCAGACCGCCGTGTTCCGCGTCGAACCCGGTGGCACGCTCAAGAACGTGATCATCGGTCAGGACCAAATGGAGGGCGTGCACTGCGAGCAGAGTGGCTGCACGATCGAGAACGTTTGGTGGGACGATGTGTGCGAGGACGCACTGAGCATCAAGGGCGGGTCGGCCGGCAGTGTGACCAAGGTCATCGGTGGCGGTGCTCGTTCCGCCCAAGACAAGGTCATCCAGCACAATGGCTACGGCACCGTCTCCATCGAGGGCTTCTACGTCGAGGACTTCGGCAAGCTCTACCGTTCGTGCGGCACGTGTGGTATCAAGGGTCTCAAGGTCAACGTCAAGAATGTCTACGCCGTCGACGGCCGTGTCAGCATCGTCACGGTGAACGAGAACTGGGGTGACCAGGCCACGCTCGAGAACATCAAGATCAAGGGCAAGAAGATCAACGTGTGCTCGTGGTCGGACGGCACGACGTCGGGCGGTGAGCCGGACGAAGCTGGCGCCGGTCCCAAGGGCAATGTCTGCAAATACTCGCCCAGTACGGTCACCTACGTCTAAGTCATGTTTCGACGCATGGTTGCAATGCGCTTGTAGAATGTTTTGTCGTTAGCTAGTTGAAGTGAAAAATAATAGAGAATCCAATGTGTGTTTGTGCTCCAAACAAACTGTTCGACTACTACTTTTGTAGTATTAGTTAGACCTCGGCTCATGTAACTTTGTCGTATTGTTAATAATGTCGACGTGTTGGCCCGGCAACTACTGTAAAGCACTGTAGTCTGCACCACATTACTACTATCGGATTGGATCGTTGGCTGGTCGATTCCGTCTTGCTTAAACGTGAATGCGACTGCAAAGGTGACCAAGCTGTTGTTTTCGCTGAAACAGTATGAGCTGTGTTTCTCTTGGTATCTTCAACCGTACGGCGTTTTAGGCCCAGCAGCCCGATAAGACCATAGCATAAAATACCGATTGCGGTCAGCAACTGTACAATCAACTGTCTTCAGTTGATTTTTGGTACTTGCAATCCAAAGCGACATCAAGCTTGCTAAGATCGCAAATTAATTGCAGATTGCGGTCAGCACGTATGGAGAATGGCACCGTCTGGAACTCAAAGCAACAGGCATGACTGCTTTCTGCCGTCTGGCGAAATTCCGGTATAAGATGAACACTCTAGATACCAGTTTTGCTGTCCGAATCGAATCCATTTACCAATTTCCCTCATCCCAATCAAGACCCTGATGAAGTTCTCTGCATCTTACTCGATCGTCTTCTGCGCGCTTGTCCTGCTGCTCACCGGCCCCGTTAACGTCACCGCCCAATGTTCCGATGTCCACATCGTCTTCGCCCGTGGCAGCGGTGAAATGCCTGGTCTTGGTATCTGCGGTACGCCGTTGGTGAGTGGCATCAAGCAGAACCTCGCTGGCATGAGCGTCTCGTCATACGCAGTCAACTACCTGGCTTCTGTGACTCAAACGAGTGCCGGTCCGGGCGCCACGGACATGACCAACCACGTCAAGACCGTTGCGCAACAGTGCCGGACACTGTATTCGTTCTTGGCGGATACTCTCAAGGTGCCAGCGTCACTGATATCGCCATCGGTATCAAGACGATGCTCGGTGTCGGCGCTAGTATCCCGGAGGAATTGGCGCCTCGCATCAAGGCCATCGTGACATTCGGCAACCCGTTGAAGCTCATGGGTCAGACCATCGAGCGATCCAGCCAACTGTACGGATCCAAGGCCATTGAGTTCTGCAACTTAGGCGACCCGGTGTGTGCCAACGGCTTCAACACCATGGCGCACATTACGTACCCGATGGACGGCAGCGTGACTAAAGCGGCTGCGCAAGCTGCGGCGCTGGTGAAGGGCAATGCAAGGGCGTTGCGTGGATGACCAGCGCTCTTCTTTTGTTGTTTCGAGACCCAATCGTCATGTAAACAGAGTAGATGTCAGTGTGGTTAACTAGATGTTCAATGAAGTTGTAGCTTCAATTCGTAGTCTTTTTGAGTATCTGAGCTACGTTGATCAGCTCACTTACGCGATCGCAACGATCGCATTGACTAGTCCAGCGATCGTGGCCGCGACGCCAACAAACCAGCAGTTGGAGCGATGCGGCTGAATCGCGTTCGCGTACATGTACGTGTGCAGGCAACGCGACACCGTGTAGACGATCAAGGCGCTGGCGTGCACGACGTCGTTGCTGTCGGCCAAGATCCCTCCGCCGAAGACGAATAACGCGAATGGAATAGACTCCAAATCGTTCGCGACGATGCGCTGCCAGCGATGAACTCGCTCACGTGCCTTGATCACGACCTGGTCGTCCGTCTGGACCAGTCCGTAGTTCTGTTCTTGACCTTCAGCAATCGGTAGTCGGACATCTTCGGGCGGACGGCTGCCCGACTTGAATGCCATGGGACCTTGGATAAAGGTGACGAGCAGGAACTTGAGATAAAGCACGGAGCTGCACGCAACGTACATCCGAACGTTACCGGCCACCATGGTGTAGCTGAAGTTGGTCGTTTTTGGTGAGTTTGTGCGCTCGAAGCAGCTAATTCGATAGTGATGGTCCTACCAAGTGAACAGCGATCAACTCAGGACAGTTTGTCATCTCGCAGCTTCAGAGAAAACCTTGCAAGCGTGATCAGTCCCGGAGCTGAGCGTTTCGATTAGTACCGAGCTGTGTGTTTACGGTTAGAGCAGATTATAAGCCACCCGCACGAACTTACCGGCACGTGAATCAACACCAAGTGATTGTCATTAAACAGAGCGCTTCATATTCTCTTCCTTTAGTTGTAAACAGACCAGCTCCTTCTCAGAGCATTTCCACGACTATCGGAGCTTACAGGATGGCAACGACAGCGTTGCCGACGCCGACGAGGGTTGCGAGCACGCCCACACCCCAGCAGATAGCGCGAGCGGGCTGCATGGCGTGCGCGTACACGTACGTGTGCAAGCAGCGCGCGACCGTGTAGACGGTCATGGCACCGGCGTGTACCGTGGGGTTGCTGCCGGCCAGGATGCCGCCGCCGAAGACGAAGAGCGCGAAGGGGATGGACTCCAGGTCGTTGCTCACGATGCGCGTCCAGCGGTGCTCGGCCTCGCGGGCCTTGAGCACCTTCTCGTCGTCGGTCTTGTCCAGGCCGTACGTCTGCTTGCGGCCCTTGCCCATGGTCTTGGCCAGACTGAGCACGGCATCCTCAGGTGGACGGCCGCCCGAACGGAACTTCTTGCCGCCCTGGATGCCCGTAGCTAGCAGGAACTTGAGGTACAGCACGGAGCTGCAGGCGATGTAGACCTTGGTGTTGGCGTCGACCATGGTGCTGATGATCTCTTGGCTTTTTCAGGTGTGACCTGCCCCCGTGACGTTCGACAAGGTATTCCGACGGCTGACAGGCGACGGGGAGCTGTTGACGCGCTTACAAACGTTTACAAAGACCAGCACGTCACACGTCACAGAGTTGCTGGCAGATCAAGTTGACGCTGACTTCAGCTCAGCGCGTAGGAGGTCTGATGGGCCCATCAGTGATGGCCAGACAAGTCTGCATGCGGCATACGGCTCCACGGACAGTTTCATTGATGGCGACGGCTGCGATGCCAACGTCCACGAACATTGAAACGCTCGACTGTATGGCATTCAAGTAGACGTGCGCGTGCCGACTGCGCGCCGTCGTGTAGACGGTCAATGCCCCAGCGTGTACGACCAGATTTCTACCGGCAAGGATAACACTATCATGAGACCCGGATAAGAAGCGTGTGAATTTGATTGATGATTTAGCTGCAAGTGCCTATTCGTCTAGTTGGAGAAAGCGCCGTATAGCGCGTTGCCGGCGCCCGTGGTGATGAAGATGACGCCGAACAGCCAGCACAGCGCGCGGTGCGGGTGCATGGCGTTGGCGTACGCCACGGTGTGGAAGCAGCGTACAGCCGTGTAGCCGACCATGGCGCCGATCTGCACGGCCGGGTTGCCCTTCGCCATCACGCCGGCACCGAAGACCACAAGCGCCAGCGGAATGGACTCGAGGTCGTTCTGCACGATGCGACGCCAGCGCAGCTCCGTGATCTTGGCCTTCTGGAGCTTCTCGCTCTCCTCCTTGGTGGTCTCAGGAGGCGTGACCAGGCCGTACGTCTGCACCGGGTTGCCCTTGGCCAGCGGCAGGTTCTTGTCCTCAGGCGGACGACCACCGGCTTCGAACGTCTTGGTGGCCTGAATCCCCGTGGCCAGCACGAACTTGACGTACAGCACGGCGGCGCAGGTCACGTAGGTCTTGAGTTCAGTGGACGCCGACATGGTACTGTGCAGCTTCAGAAGAGAAATACAGAATGTCTACGGCGGAATAGTGATCAGAGATCACGCTGGTACAGGTTCACCATCTCGGAGACCAGACCTGATGGCGTGAATGGCTCGGCTGTCATTGGTTGAAAGGCTCGATGACAAATGGTACCACTGTTTGACAGGCGTAACTTAACCGGGAGTCAACCGGATCGGTTAATTCTTGAGCTGCACCAGTGCTCGAACCACCCTACAAGGTAGATTCTATTTGTTCGGCGGCATGTATTGAGACTAAGGGCTTAATTGACGATATGCTTTGCCTAATTGAAGCTTCAGCCAATCTCTATTTAATTGAAGACGCCGACGATGGAGTTGACGCCGCTGGTGATGATCATGAGTACACCGATGCGCCAGCACCACGCGCGATGTGGCTGCAGCATGTTGGCGTATGCGTACGTGTGGAAACAACGCACAGAGGTGTAGACAGCCAGGCAGATGACGAATAGCTCCTTGTTACCGCCGGCGAACACACCTCCGAGGAACACCAGCAATGCCAGAGGGATGGACTCGAGGTCGTTCTGAATGATACGCTTCCAGCGGTGCTCGATTGCGCGTGCCTTCAAGAGTTCTGCGTCGTTTTCGTCACTGAACATTCCGTAGTTCTGCTCTCGTCGGCCTTGGGCAAGAGCCAAATACTTGTCCTCAGGTGGTCGACATCCTGCGTCAAAAGTCTTGGTGGCTTGAATTCCAGTGGCGATGACAAACTTGAGGTAGAGAATGAAGGAACAGACGATATAGGTCTTCAGCTCTGTAGATCCACTCATGGAAGTTAAGATTGTTGGTTTCGGAACTGTGTGGCGTTAAATGCGCAGTGGGATGCATCTCGCCGAGTTAGGCAAATGTAGCCATGAAGCCGGTTTACGTAAAGTGTTGTATTTTAGCCAATCGTATAGCAATTTACGTATCAATGGCGTCCCGATTAAGTTAATGGTCCTTGAAATGGATACAAGTTCAACATCCTACCCGCAGACCGAGGCCCGAATGCCCCACCGAATGTCTGCTGCTGCACCTGCTGTGACGAATATATCCAGCTCCACGCAGGGTATTCGTCAGCGTAGAACATCAAGCTAGTCGCTTGTCTTCGCGCTTTAGTAAGGAGACATGAATTCTTCATCAATTACTGTTCTAGGGTCTAAATCTACCTACAGCGCTGCTTGTTGTAGAAATGTCCTACGCGTACACGCCAACCACAGCGTTGACGGCACCTGCCACGATGGCTACGACGCCAAGACGCCAGCACCAGGCTCGGTGTGGTTGCAGTTTCTTAGCGTAGGCGACGGTGTGGAAGCAACGCAGCACCGTGTACGTCGCCATGGCTCCGATCTGCACGGTCGGGTTGATGCGGTCCTCGATGGCGACGCCAATGCCAAACACCACCAGGGCCAGCGGAATGGACTCCAGGTCGTTCTGCACGATGCGACGCCAACGGTGCTCCACTTCGCGGGCCTTGAGGATCTTCTCGTCCTTTTCCGCTTCCGGGTCCATGCCGTACGTCTGCTTCGGACGGCCCTTGGCCAGCGGCAGAGCCTTATCTTCTGGCGCGCGGCCGCCGGCCTCGAACGTCTTCTTGGCTTGGATCATGGTTACACGCAGGAACTTAAGGTACAGCACACTCGTGCACACCACGTACGTCTGCAGCACAGAGGAGCCCATTGTATCGATTCTTTACAGACACTTGTGCTCGACGAGGACGATTCAGAAGTGATCAGGCGGTCATGCTTGTCAAAAAGTTACCTTTTCGTAACATATGTAGCCCAAGTGTACCCCTGAACGTACGTACCCCTTATCGATTTGACGAGGCACAGCTATGGAGCTGCTGGGACTGTTGCTACGTCTCTTTAACGCGCTGTTCCTGGTGGCTGGACTGCTCGCTCTGCGCGTCTGGCAGGTTGTCGTTCCGCAGCGCGTGAAGGCGCCGATCTCCAGCTACTCGAAGCCGTTTTTCCACCATCAGAACGCGACCAATGACAAGAAAAAGAAGCGCCAGATCCGCGTCATGGCTGTGCTGGGCTCTGGCGGCCACACGACGGAGCTGCTGAAGCTCATGAAGAGGCTCAAGAGAGAGATCTATACACCCATCACGTTCGTAGTGGCCGAGACGGACAAAACTAGCCAGACCAAGACCGAACTGGACTGGAAGCCCAACGACAAAGACTCTTTTGCCATTATCCCTCGTAGTCGAGAGGTACGATGCCGCACACTTTACAGTGAGATAGAAATAATGGCTAACACTGTGTGTATTTATTCCCATCAGGTAGGGCAGTCGTGGTCGTCTACGGTGTGGACTACGCTGCGCTCGTTCCAGTCGTGTCTTGGTCTGGTATACAACCATCGTCCGCAGTTGGTGCTCTGCAATGGACCCGGTACGTTGCCAAAAAGAGTGAAAGTGTTATAGGTTATTATTGAGTGATTGAACTCCTGTTCTGGCTGCTTGCAGGTACTTGCATCCCGATCTGTGCGGCAGTGCTGCTGTTCCGCGTGTTGGGTATCCAGACGGACTCAAGGATCATCTTTTGCGAGAGCTTCGCACGCGTGCAGCACTTGTCCCTCACTGGTAAATTGCTTTACTACGTGGCCGACGAGTTCGTCGTGCAATGGCCTCAGTTGCAGACCAAGTATCCACGCACAAGACACTTAGGTGTCATTTGCTAGAGTAGCTGCTACCAGTACGAAAAAACCCTAAGTATGGACTGCTGAGTGATCTTAGATACAATGCGCCATCGTTACACATGCAGCGAGGTCCTGCACAAGCGCTCTCGTCGCTGCTTAATGCTCAGTTTTAAGTCCAAATTAGCTAACTTTAATGTCGTGGAGTCGCTACGCACGCAACGTCTTGTCTTCACTATGCTCCCACACTAAGCATCGTACCGCCGCCTGTCCAAAGCTGTCATTGCTCAAGCTCTGTGCTCTTCGCGAAGTCGCTCTCTGCTGTCTCCATGCACGCCTCCAGCCGCATTGGCTCCTCCACGGGCTCTCTGGGCTCCAGCTCCACTGTAGCCACTTCGGGCTTCAAGGCGCCGCCCACCTCCGTCGAGCGGGTACAAGTAGCCATTATTGGAGCTCTACCATGAAGATGAGCTAATCATTCTTTTATTATGTTCTTATTTTCTTATTTGGTCCAGATGATGACGGTAGCCGCCACCCAGATGAGCTGTGGCAACCCCGAGGAGAACATCAAGAAGGCGGAGTCCCTCGTGCGCATTGCTAGCTCCCGTGGAGCGCAGGTTATTCTACTACAGGAGCTGTTCCAGTTTTCGTACTTCCCTATTGAGCTCAATGCCGGCAACTTCCAGTTGGCTACAACGCTGGAAGAGTCTGCACTGGTACAGGGTATGGCGTTGCTGGCTAAGGAGCTGCACGTGGTGATCCCCATCAGCTTCTTCGAGCGATACAGGAACTCGTACTACAACTCGTGCGCTGTGATCGACGCCGACGGAACGGTGTTGGGCGTTGCGCGCAAGATGCACATCGGAGGTGGGTACATTGCCAGCAAATAGCTACATTTTTGTGCTGGCTCAATGATGGCATTATTTATCGAACAGACCGTCTTGGCTACAACGAGAAATACTACTTCACGCCGTCTGACGACTCGTTCAAAGTCTGGAACACGGTGCGTACGACAACAAACTGGGGTGTTGGAGTTGTAGACTAAATATTTGTTGGGGCAGCGTTACGGTAAGATTGGTGTAGCCATCGGCTCGGACCAGTGGTATCCCGAAGTGGCACGCAGTTTGGTAGTGCAGGGCGCCGAGTTGCTACTGTATCCAAGTGCTATGGGCAGCAACCACTACGACCCCAACTTTGATCCACGTGATCAGTGGCAACGTGTGATGCAGGGCCATGCAGCGGCGAGTATGGTGCCCGTTATCTGCTCCAACCGCGTGGGTACTGAAGTCGTGGACGGTATCCAGGTTACATTCGTTGGCTCCTCGTTCATCACAGGCCAGACTGGTGAAATGGTACGCTTGAACACTCTACTTCATGGAAATTATAACTAACTTTTGTCTGCTGTTACTAGCTTAAGATTGCCGACCGTGAGTCGGAAGGTGTGCTTGTGGAGAGCTTCGACCTCGAGAAATTCCACGTGAGACGAGCCAGTTGGGGTCTTGTTCGTGACCGCAGACCCAACATGTATGGAACACTCATTACGCGTGATGGACCTCAGTGATACTCTTCAGCATCGTGTTATCAAAGAGAATGGAGCTCAATGGAGCCATATCGTAGAGTGCATGTGCTGTGATGGCTAAATGTAGCCATGTTCAAAAACTGACGTTGGTTCACAAGTTATTTATAACGTGGTTGAAATGGCTGCATAGGTCAGTTTGTATTTTCCCTATTACAGCGATGAGCACCAAGGTTACGACTGGATTAAAGCCTGGGATCGGTCGCCGCGGTAATTCACTGTCAGCAAGTCGACTACGCGAGCAGTTGGCAGCGCGTAATGGCCCTAGACACTCCGTGTATTGGGTGCAACCGAAGAAGGGCGAGGTCAAGTTGCCAAGCTACACGAATGTGATGGAGGCCACGAACATGGCTGCATGTGCCAAGAAGATCGAGTACACTCTGCTCGGCAAGTACACTGGCGACTGGAAAGATGGCCAAAAACACGGCTACGGTGCTCTGCTGTACGCGAACGGGAACAAATACGAAGGTGAGTGGGTTGAGAACAAACGCGAGGGTCGTGGGGTCTACTGGGTCGAGGAGAAGAAGAAATTGCGCAAACAATACGCTGGTGAGTGGTACAATGACCACCGACATGGTCGCGGCACCTTTTTCAACGAAGATGGAGGTAAATATGAGGGCCAATGGCTCAATAACAAGCGTCATGGTCATGGCCGTATGGTCCATGGTGATGATCAATCCGTGTACGACGGAGAGTGGGTGAATAACGAGCGATCTGGACGAGGAACGCTGATTTTGGGTGCGTAATTGACTGATGTAGCCATTTTTGAACGACTATTCACTTTGAGTTCGATGTAGTAAATGGCGATCGCTATGAAGGACATTGGCTCAACGACAAAAAAGAAGGCCCAGGGCGATACTTCTACAAGGCCACTCGCAAGATGTACGAAGGCGAGTGGGTCGACGGAGCTCCCAAGTGTGGGACGTACCATGACGACACCGAGTTTAACGACGACGAGCTTGGAGATGACGAGAGTCACAACACGTTTCAACTCCCAGAGGTAAGTGTCGTCAATATTTTATTTTGACATGGAGACATCTACTCACTATGGCTACATTCTCAGTTGGAGCTCGCACACCCCGATCAAGTATTGAGTGAAGGTGTCGCGTGTATCCGTCAGGAACGCGTACGCGAACGAGCCTTTGACGCCGACGAAGATGGACACATTGAGAATGCAGCCGATACAATGGCTACAACTCGCCGTAGCACCTTGACCGCGACAGATCTCGAGCCTGGCGTCGTCGTCTTTGACGAGCAAATGTTACGCTCGATCCAGAGCGAGTTCGCTGCTCTACTAGCAGAGCAAAGCGCTGCACTGGCCGAGAGTCCCGACGCACAGACTGTTAAGACTCGAAGTGGCTGCATCCCGTGCTCTCGCTTGTCTGGTCTCATCGACGTGCTTCAACTCGATGTAAGTGAGGAACAACTCACGGAATTGTTACAAGAAATCGGCGCAGCAAGTGACACTCTCGTATCATTCGCCGAGTGTGTCGACATCCTGTCGTTGCTGATGGAGAGCCAAGATGCACCCATTCTCGAAGAAGACGAAGACGACGATAGTAATTACTAAAAAAAAGTAGTACTCTGGTCGGCAAAGTAGTATTTGTGTTCCGTTCTACCGTCCTACCTGCCCTACTTTCTTCTAACCGCCTTAAGTGAAGCGGAGGCCCAGCGCCGCCACTACCTCGCGGTACTTGTGCAGGTCCTTGCGACGCAAGTACTTGAGCAGCTTCCGTCGCTTCTCCACCATCGCAATCAGACCTCGTCGAGAGTGATGGTCCTTCTTGTGGCCCTGAGCGTGGGCCGTGCTGCGTAGAATCTTCTGCGTGAGTACAGCGATCTGCACCTCGCTGGAGCCAGTGTCGCCCGGGAAGCGCTGGAACGTCTCGATGGCCGTAGCCACCTGCGCCTTGTTGAGCTCGTGCTGCGACGCGTTGCGCAGACTCAGCACAGCCTTGAGCTGCTCGAGGGTCTTCGCCTCGTCCTCGTTCTCAGGCTTCACGTCGTCCAGCTTCAGTCCGAAGCGGTAGCTCTTGTCGGCGGACACACGCGGTGGCGCCACGTACGACACGCAGCGAGCGGCTGGGTGCGAGGCCGCAGGGCGCGCGGCGCGAGCGAGACGAGAGAGCGCGAACATGGCTGGTTGCAGCTTGTGTGGCTGGAAGACTGTGAATACAAAGGATAATCCTTTATCCTTTGCTAGTTGATAATCCCTTATTACTTGATGGACTCTTTCGAATGATTAATAGGAAAAAAGCGTTTTCTTTGCCATAAAAAAAAGGTCCCGAACACATAGTGAAACCAAATCCAAGTGAACGGAAAGAGTGCTCAAGTTTCCGACATAAACACTTTTTGTAGAAATGTGCCCGAAAAAAACCATAAAAAATAATGGTTTTTTTCGGTCTGAATGCGGCAATTTGTGATACCGGTATCGGAAGGTATGCATTTTTGTAGTGATAAACAACAGGAAAGGTTGTAATTAGTTTTTTGTGTGGAATTTTGGTGTGGTCCTTCATAAAAAGATTTTCGTTCGATTGATTAAATGTTGCATTAGACCACCAATAGCTTAGCCGCATTTGGTAATGGTAGCTTGTTCTGCGGTTGTATGACAGCACATTCGTCTCATGGCCATTTTACCTGGGATCAACACAGGGACCTTGTTGGCGGTCCTATATATATTTAAAAACCAAGTGGACTGTGCGCATTCAAGTAGGTCCCGACAAAACTCATATATTGCACATGGAAAAAGCAAGCAAATACTGAGGCTGCGAGGCAGGCTCAGGAGTGCAGCGCTATGCCTCAGGGCGGGGTATATACGGAAACCTCAGCGAGCAGAGACGAGATGGCACGGCTTTGAGTAAACACCAAGCTGGCGAGTATTAAAAAAATGTTGAATGTGAGAAAAGTTGACGGTTTACTTTTCAGATCTACAGTACAGGAGCGTTCTTTTAATAATAACTGCATGGAAAAGTGTCGAGAGATAGATGAATGCTGGTACAAACGCCTTCACTATAGCTACGATTACCAGCTACTTGTACATAGTTTTGTGAACTGCGAGTTTTTACAATTGGGCATTGAGAATTTTGCATATTTAGTGGACTATGGACTCAGCAGCGTCAACCCTGCTTGCGTCACTGAGATTAATTTGGTTAAGCTGTCTGTCGTGTCGTACCTTTCCTCTTAATATTATAAAAGGAGTTGATTGGCACTTCGTTATTACCTCAGTTGGTCCTAATGACATCGTATGGCCTTGTCGACGGGCGTTTGATTTTCACCCTCGAGGAAACCTTTAGTCAACGAGCGAACTTTGCTAATACAAAATGATGCACGCTCGATTTCACGCACCACAGTTGAAAAACTTAGCAGATGGAATCAATAGTCAAATGAGATGATAGCCTTGCTAATCCACGTCTGAGGATGTCGTTCCTACTACATCGTATGTGTCCTTTTCAAAAGACTGCACACGACCTTAATGCAGTTTCATTTCAGTCGTGGACTTCGATGCTTTCCAATACTCAGGAAACAGCTTCTTGATGTAAAAAGCTTCTTCATCCGTCAGATCCATGCTCTTCATGGCACTCTTGATGTTTTGAGGTGTATATCCCATGCCATCCATCGTTCTAAACGCGGAAAGCAACTCGCCTTGCAGCACAGTTTTAACGTCATCGTGTCCGCCCACAGCATCGTTGCCGATGAGATCTTATTAAGCGCGATATCGACGTCATCAGGTTGTTCGGACGGTCTCTTGAACTTAGCCATTTTATCAATTATGTCGTCAAGTAAGCTCAGAAAACTCTCTCTTCAGTGGTCGGTCCATGATCCAGATCCTTACTGTCATCGATGGGCTCGCGCTTTCTCAATCGCCGCCCGACGTTGCTACTGTCTAAGGCAGCAACAGTAGGTTTTTGGGAGACAGCTGAAAAGGATGTTGCAAGCGTGCCAAAGCTCACAGCGTCGGTAGTCGAGACATCATCGGCGCAGGCAAGAACAGTGGCCGTAGCAGCCAACAGGAAGATGCGCACGCATCAGAAGTTGTTCGCGACGATGGCGATGGACGGGAAAAATTGAAAAATGACCCCCAGCGAATCGATTCGCATTTCGTGTGACGATCTCAAATGCAGTACTTCGAAGTATATGGCTTGTAGAACAAATAGAGTGTTTTGACGGTATACTTAAATAATGTTGGAGAAAGGGAACGAGAATCTCAACCGCACAATCCTGCTAAATATCTAAATTAGGCCCGTAATCATGCATCAGCATAAACTCTTCAGACCCGTGATCTTGTCTCCACGTAAACTCTATTGCCACATTTGTCCGGCTCTCCTACACGTAAAATAGTATTCTTTTCGCAGCAGGAAACTAATGCAGAACCAGATATTTACATTGTTCTAAAAAGTGATAGACTCATTCGTGTTTTCAGTTGTTGAGATTGCTGAATGGAGGCTGGTAACAATAGTATCACAGGAGATACTTCACTTATTCGGACTGGGTGCCCATCTGTACTTCCTGCGCTCGTTCCTGCCGAGGAGAGTCGAACAAATGTTTAGATACCTATGATGGCTCAGTTAGACACATTCGCTGATGGTTAATCACTTATTGTAGCAGGTTCCGACCACTACGAGGGGGCTGGCGCTTCCTGGCAAAACCAAATCTATGTTGTTGGCCAAATTCCAAAGTGGTCTGAGCTAGGTCTTTCTGTCTGCGGAGTAGTTTCATAACTACTAGGTCTTCTAAATTCTAACTATTCCGTATTCTAGATTCTAACTGCCACTTGCCAACTTGGCGGTGGGACCCGTTCCGTCGCCCGATGAATGCGTTAGGCTTGATCAGTAAAGCTCCCACTACATTGTTTCGGTGTAGTGGAATCTTAAAGCGACCAGCTGAACTTTTAGAGGCACCAACAATCCAACATGTCTGCAAACACCGCAAAGATAGTAAGAATTACGAGCTGTCTGTGGAGTACACTACTTGTAGGCATAGGTACCAAAGCATTTCGAAACGAAAGATCACGAAGCTTAACTTCTCTCGCAATTAATCGATACCCCATGGATGACATTTAGTCACTTCGATGTCACTCATTATGATATCAATATCAATATCAAAACAGCGGTTTATCGCTCAGGTACATTTTGCTGTCATGAGTTGCATGTTGCGAGTGAGCTGGACTTGGAAGGTTACTGTAGAAAGTTGCCTGTGAGACCGTGGACAAAACAGTACGCACCACCACGCATCGCCACTGCGCTCCGCCAACAAATTTACTGCCAGTACAAACAAGTAAAAGATCATGCAGCTTCGTCAGTGTACTAAACCCTAGACGAAGACTTCAGGGAAACATTGCAGTTTAGCTTGGCTTCTACCAAAATGGCTTTATATTCGCAGAGCACAAAAGAAATAGAAAAAAGCACGGCCCGATGTATTGACAATGTTAATGACTGCAAAATGTCCTGCAAAATGTCCGTGACTCCTGCGTGAAGTTGTCCAGCTTAATCCCTGATAGGATCGAGCTTGGAAGTGCGGTACCAGAAACCCTCCCAGTCATCCGCCTTATTACTGAATCCTGCCAGCTTTTCTTTACGGACCCCGTTCTCTTTTAGATATTTCAGGGCATTCTTCAGTTTGTCGGGGCCGTAGTTTTTCTTCGCGAGCTCTTCGTTAGTTTTCTTGAACAAATTCATGTAGCGTTGCTTCTTGCTAAATAATTTCTTCGCAAACTCGCTCACGGAGGCTCGCTCTTCGTTGTCCAATTTGGCATCTTCATGTTGTCTCAGGGAGCGAACACTGTGATGCTGGCGCTTGTCAATCAGTCCGGGAGATGCGTACTGCGCCAACCCGGTTGGAGTCGAAGCCGTTGCTGCCAGAACCGCACTACTGGTAGCAAGAAGGGAGACCAATGCCACTACGAAGGTGATGCACGCGCGCATGGTTGATGTCGTGGATGAGGTTGAATCTTCCGAGCAAATTGCGGAATGGTACGTGTACTTGGGTGCGTTGTTATGTAAGCCAAAGAGCCTCGAGTCGAGGGACCTGTAGAGGCTACACGGGTTTTGTACAAACGAACAGATCCTTCTTCGGATCTTGCCAAGCGTATGGAAATAAGAAGAGTCCGCACTGTATTTGTACTAATGCAAGAGTCTTCCGACCGCACAGTACCGGTATGCAGAACGAGCTGTCGACGATGTCATCTGGTCCAGACAACGGTCCAAGGGTACTCCTGATCTAACGAAGTTCTTGTTGAGAGAAACATGGTGCAGACCTATTATTAATGAACTACATCGTTCATGTTATAATAGTTTTGTTTTCTGGATATTTGAAGCAAAACGAGTGTCAAAAAGCGGGTCAAATACCAAACTTACGTTTCAGTAGCGTATATGGTGGGGGTACTTCCCGCCAAACTATAGATACTGTGCCAAAACACTAGTGATAATGTTTTATTTAAATTCAATCTTCACCAGGTAAAAGATTAAGAATAACTTTAAAATCACAATCACGGTATCTTTACTAATCTCGCGAGATTTCTCGTCTGATTGAAGAACATATGTACATGTCCAGACTGCTATATCGTAGTTTGAGTAGTAACTTCCTCCGTATAGTAAAATCGGAGTGATTATTGCCACATACGTTTGTGGCTGGTTTGTGGTTAGTAATAATTTTGTGTGTAATAATTTTGTAGTGAAAATAGTGAGTCATCGGTGAGAGAAATGATATTAAGATTACGAATTTCTTCACATTTTGATACTGTACGATAGGCAGAATATCTATAACAACAATATTGA